CCACTCTGGTCCGAGCTAAAATCTCTCTCTCTAGATCATTTTAGTAGCCTTCTCACTGGTCTTGTTACTTCTACCTTTGTTCCTCTTCATGTCAGTGTGATCCTTATAATATGTAAATCAGACTAGTCAACTGTTCAGAAGTCTACAGTAGGTCAGTCAGAGTCCTTGAAGTGGTATACTTGCACCCTTTCTTGCTATGCTATTGCCACACTGACCTCTTCACTATGTCAGGTACTGCAGACACTTTCCTGCCCGAGGCCTGTTGACTGCTGTTCCTTCTACCTGGAATGTCTGTCCTCCAGATAGCTGCCATATCTTATTCCCTCACCTCCTTCAAATCTTCACTCAGGTATCACCTGTTCTGTGCCCTTGTTAACACTCCTGCCTTTACCACTCCGCCTCATACTTGTTTTCATTGCCCTTTTCTTCTCACAGTGCTTATCACCTTCTGACGTTCCATATAACTTACTTATTCATTAGGTCTGTTTTCTCCTCTAAAAAATAAGCTCCATGAGGGAAGGGTTTTTTTGTTTTGTTTTGTTTTTTTTGGTCTGTTTTTGTTCATATAGATGTGCCCAGCACGCAGTAAGCAATCAGTAAATTTTTGTTGAATGAATTTTTTGAGTCAGTCAGCCCCTCCTCGGCATTAAGTTACCAAGATAATTGAGTTCTCGTCCCTCATCAAGCTCCACATCTAGTTGAGGAATAGGACCCAGGGAATAGAATTCAAAAAAAAATTCAGATACGGTAAAAAATTTTTTGTTCTTTATATTGTTTTTGGGAGAGCCATATATATATTCTGGGGTCCCGCCCCCCCCACCCCTCTGCCAAAAGATGTTTTTAGCTTCATTTGCATATAACATCTCCTTTGCCACCCATCCGTCCCCTTCTTTCCTGGTCTTGACTTACAAAACGCCTTTTCCTAAAAACCCTGATCCCTTTTGTAGAGGTTGCAAATTGTCTGGATTTAGCCCACAAGTATGTTTTGTTTGGTTTGCCCCATGTACTATTGGTTATTTGGTGTTTATGCTTTTTTGTTTTACACAGTGCTTCTTGATGTAATTACCAACATTTTAAATTCAGCTATTTTAGATGCAAATCTTGATTTCTGACCTTTGAAAAATTAGAAGTTCTGGTAACATAGGGCCTGCATTCTATGTGGCAACTAGTTGAGTTGAGTAGCTGTGGTCCCCGTCATACGAGGCATAAGCTTATTTGGTTTGACAGCTTATCCTGTTCACTTATCTTGACAGCTCCTGCAGGTTGACTTTAGAGTTCCTTTTTAAATCAGAATGCTTTGAATCAATTTAAGCCACACATTGTAGAGATTGAAGTTAATTTTCATGTAGCTGAATGAACATTTAATGGATCTTTTTTGTGAAATGACCTAGTTCTGTGGATGTTGGCCAAAGGTAGCAAAAATTTGAAGAAAGAGCAAAAGACTTGAAATACAGTTCAGGTTTTATACATGTGTTCATTTGTCCATACCTTTTTAGTGTGTCTTAATCCTTTTGTCTTCAGGCCCATAGCTGCTGTCAGTTCATGTAATAGTCCTATACAATATTCATGATGAAATACCACAGATAAGAGTTTAGACACTTCTTGTCACCTAATTGGAAGTCATAAATAATAGAACTGAAGTGCTATGAAAATGGGACAGGGGAGCAGAGACAAGGTGGAAGAGATCGTGATAATTACCCAATAAAATGTCCACCACAATTAGGGTCCTTAAAGCTTTTTAAGACTCCAAGTTTTGGAATAAAATAAAAGTAACGCCAGAATTTCGTAGTGTTAAGATCTTGAAACCTGGACTGTGGCGTCTCAGACTATACTATTTGAGGTTGTAAAGGTGTCAGGTATTTTGTTCCATCAAAAGTAACCTATTTTATGAACTCTCACATCTTTGTTGTCATGGTGACTATTACTTGTTTTCTCTTCCTTTCTGGGTAACTGCATGAGACTCTGGTGTGAAGTGGGGAGCGGGAGAAGAGATAGTGTTCGTCTGCCTTCTGCCACAGTACGTTGGCATTTTCCCCATAGGAGAGTGGTACACTGTACTTCAGTGCCCTAACTTGTGTTTTCTGTGGCTTCGTTTACATTCTTCTGAAGATCCAGGGGGAAAATGTCTTTTTAAAGAAAAAATGAAACCCAAATCCCTAGAGTGACTTTGGGGGGTTTAAATGTCTTACTCCATGGGCAAAAAATGAGTTCTTATTCTGTAAGAATGAATTTCTGGCTCCTGCTTTTATACTCAGATAGCAAAGAATTGTGTTACTTCAGTAGCTAATTTCAGAGCAAACCATTATATCATTTTAGCAGCCAGGGGACTTGAGGTCAGCTTATGGAAAACAGACTTCATTTCCACTAAGCTCTAAAGTAAACCAAGAAAAACATCAAATTGTGTCCTAATCTAGGAATTAATATAATGACTTTGTATGCTGTGGTGCCCATAATACCACAGTTTACCAGTGTGTCCTCCTGACATATTTTTTCCCTGAAGCATATGATCGTGTGTGCAAAGTCATTATATCCTAAAACTGTGTACAGGCCTGATTTTTCAAATCACAGCTCCACTGAATTGGAAGAGAGAAGCTATCTCTCAAGAGGCAAATAAGCATGACCTACATAGTTAATACATCTACCTTCCCTTATACTTCCTTCTAAGGCCCGATTTTCTTTGCTTGGGAAGTGGTATTTATCTATATTAAGCACATCTATTTATAAGACTAGTTGTTTTTCTAATTTAACAGGTGGCAGAAAAGAAACCAGTGAAAAGAGATGTCTTGTTATATGCCTGAGTAAATAATGGATGGGTGGTGGAATTGTATTTTCAGTGTGGCATCTGGATACATCTCCATAGTTCTCAGAAGCCTTGTCTGGGTCTGCTTTGTTCTTGACTTTTAGGAAATACGATGGCCCATTCAGCATTTTTGTTGATGGCCTCTAACTGGAGGCCTTTTTCTCTTCTATGATCACCTGTAAAAAGGAGAGAAAATAGTAGCACACAATGGGTGTCCAGAGCAAGCACTGTGGACACACACACACACACACACACACACAGATTTAGTTGGTCTAATGTGAGGCCCAAGCTTTTTAAAAATTTTCTCAAGTGATTCTAATGTACAGCCAAGGCTAGGAATAGATGACAAGGCTATGGGTTTTCAGGTTGTCCTAGAACCTGTGAAAGTGCCTTAAGAGAAAACAAGTGGGTAGCGGACAGATAAAGGGACTCTAGGCTCCCATCTCCTTGACTATTTCCATCCCCTTTTTGCCTGAGCAATTCACTTTTGTCTGTTTTATATATTGGGTTTCTAATGGGTGAAAAAAGTTTTTTAAGCATTGCTCTAGATATAGGTCTTATGCAAGAATGGCAAGATAGGTTTTAAATCAGGTTTTCAAGGATAGTGAGCATTGACTCCTTCCATAAGAATATGTATGTCTTGCAGCCTCTGAGGAAGGTAGAAAAAGAAAAGAAAATCTAACAGTCATAGATAACAGTACATGGTAAGCTAGTCTTTACCCCAAATGAGAAAAGCCCTGGTCAGTAAAGAAAGTAACTTGCCCAAGCAAAAGTCTCAAACAGGTTGCAAGCTGGCCACCAGAAGATTTAATTAATCACTGTGTCTCTGTCTTGGCCAGTATTTATTTATTTATTTATTTTGACTCAGGACTGTTTTCCAGTTGATTCCAATCTCCCAACGCTCCACATTGTGTGTATTTGACCTACTTACTTGCTTATCTTAACTGGCTCCTGAAAGCATTTGTGTTCATAGACATTAGAAAGCAATTTATTAGCAATTCCTATTTGCAGGATATTTAATTTGATCATTAAAAACAAACTATCGGCTGGGCACCATGGCTCATGCCTGTAATCCCAGCACTTTAGGAAGCTGAGGCGGGAGGATCACTTGAGCTCAGGAGTTTGGGAACAGCTGGGCCAATATGGCAAAACCCTGTCTTTACTAAAAATACAAAAGTTAGCCAGGTGTGGTTACATGTGCCTGTAATCCCAGCTACTTGGGAGGCTGAGGCAGGAGGATCACTTGAACCTGGGAGGCCGAGGTTGCAGTGAGCTGAGATGGTGCCATTGTACTCCAACCTGGGTGACAGAGCGAGACTCCATCAAAAAAAACAAAACAAAAAACAAACTATCTGTACTTGGCTACTATAAGATACTGTAATCTCTTGTCTGCTTCTCTAGAAAAATGTTTGTTGTAGATATTTAGGAGGCATTGAAAGAGTTATCTTTTTTTTCTTCACCTCAAAAAAAATATATGGCTTTTTTCTAAGAGAATAGTTTGTTTGGTATTATAGTCTCATACAAAGTTTATGTAAGGTATTCATTTTAAGTACTGCATTAAATCTATTTCCGGAAAGCCAGGGTGATATACCTGTCTCTTGGTAGGCTAGATTTTATTCCTTTTTTTAAATCTAGGCCAGATCAAACCTAATTAAAATTGTTCTTCTGCTTTATCTTTTATTATTTAAACATCCATTGCCCTCTGTGGTCTCACTAATGGACTAATTTCCTGAGATTATAAATTGGCATGCTTTCATTTCCAGATTGCAGCCTGTCATCATTTTTCCAATTTTTTTGTATGTTTTATGCTGTATCACCAAATGGATTTCCTCATTTCTTCTTTCCTGAAATCATATGTCCCCTTAGAATTAATGGATAAATTGTGCATCCATGGATATTCATCCTAACGGCACTAATCAAATTTTGTATTTTTAAAAAGCAACCATGCATTAAAAAAAAAAAGTTGGCAAGACAGTTTTCGTTTTTTAATAAAAGTAACTATAGTCAATTTCCCAAAGCAAATTAGTAGAAAAGTCCATTTAAAAAAATTCCTATATCAGTTCTATATCATAAAATTGAAATTATTGCCAATTTTTTGGCTATTATACTCTTTCTTATTATCACTTACAAGTTGGACCAGAAAAGTATAGAAAGAGCATAATTTTAAAACATACAGCATAACTTTTTTTTCTTTTTGTAGCATTAATCTTATCACTGGTCATTTAGAGGAACCAATGCCAAACCCCATAGATGAAATGACAGAAGAACAAAAAGAATATGAAGCCATGAAACTTGTCAACATGCTTGATAAACTTTCCAGGTATTGTATTCCCATCCATTTTTGCTTGGTTTCTAAAAATGGTCTATTTCTTTGTCTCTCTCACCGAGAGTTACCATAGAACAGCAACTCTGGAAATCCATGTTGATTGGAATAAGGTGGCCCAGGCAGCAGTTCAGATATCTCTTGGCTACCATGGTTTTTCTACATGTGCCGCTTCTGGATGTTCATTCCTAAACATTTAAATTCTCAAAGCTAAGATAGTAACTACCAGAGCACTGTAATATTTAACCAACTAACCTCCCTGTCTTCAAAAAGATGCTGTGAGTTAGATTCAGTGATTTTGCTGCTGCTTGTATTTTTGTTTTAGCCTGTTTTAGCTTTTGTTTCAAATCATGATGCTTTTGTTTTTGTTTTTTGTTTTTTGGTTTTTTTTTTTTCATTTTTGATGTGTAAGTTTGCAATTATGCCTTTTTGGGTTGCTGCTGAAACCAAGAATTCTAAAATGTCATGCACCCAATGAGAAAAAGTGAAAAGAAATAGCTCAAATGAAGGATTTTCTGAAAATAGGGACTTGTATTAATTAGGAGTTCTAACAAAAACAAAACAAAACAAAAAAACTCCCCTCCCCTCTTGCTTTACACCTCCTTCCCCTCCAAAAATAACCAGTTTTGAAAGTAATTAAATCAAATGTATACTAATCAACAACTAGTCATCTTGGAGGAGTTATTAGAAAATAATTCCTTTCATACTTGGCTGAATCGCTCTATTTTCCAGTCATACATTGAATCACTATCTTCTTTAAGCCATCTTGAATGAATGCTTCTGTGTGTTGGTGGCAATTGCCACTTAAAGATGAATTTCTTCTGGCCATCTCCTTTTTCACAGTAACTACATAAAGGCTAGTATCCATCAGTCAAAAGAAGGCGCCATTGGAATGGAAAAGCCAGAAAGCCAACCATGAAAGGGAAAAGGTAGAATACAGAAACAAGCAGAGATTAAGGGCACAGCAGAGGCTTAGGGTAGAAATGGACAAGAACAAAAGACTGACATGGGGAGTGTGACAAGTTTGGATATTTATCCAGCCGCAGAGTATGATGCTGGTAATGTGGTAGAGGTTGTTTAGTAGTAAATAGCTTAATTATCTTTAAAGCTAATATGACGAGAACTCAGTAACTTCCACCTAGCCATTTTAAATTTTCATCCTTTCTCAAGATGGTTAGAATTTACAGCTAACTGACCATGCTCACAATCTTCAAAAGACATTGTTGCCTGTTTGCAAATTACATTTTCCATACCTTCGTATAGAACAGACATGTTCCTTCCCAGAGGAATTAATAGTCACAGAGAAGATATTGATAGAGCAAACCTATAGGAGGCAGAATAAGTTTGAAATGAATATATAAGAATGTATGTTTAGCTGCTTCCAGAAGGAGTTGATGTAGCTAATGAAACACAGTGATGATATAAGAACAACAGGATAAGAACCAACAGAGTCGGGCCAGGCGCGGTGGCTGACGCCTGTAGTCTCAGCACTTTGGGAGGCCAAGGCAGGCGGATCACCTAAGGTCAGGAGTTCGAGACCAACCTGATCAACATGGAGAAACCCTGTTCTCTACTAAAAATACAAAATTACCCAGGTGTGGTGGTGCATGCCTGTAATCCCAGCTACTTGGGAGGCTGAGGCAAGAGAATTGCTTGAACCCAGGAGGCGGAGATTGTGGTGAGCCAAGATTACGTCATTACACTCCAGCCTGGGCAAACAAGAGTGAAACTCAGTCTCAAAAAAAAAAAAAAATGTACCAACAGAATCCGTCTGGTAGAAACCTGACAGGAAGTATCAGCAAGGACCTGAGTAGAACATATTAGTGTGTTAGGACAGTAAACCAGTTGCATAAATAATACATTCTGACCAACAACATGAGTTTTTAAAGGTTAACACAAATACTACTTAACTGGCCCATCTACCCTGGATGAGTAAACTCCAAGATAGGAAAATGGGAGATAAGGAAAATAACTGCCTAAGACTATGCAATATAATCCACATACTTGGTTTACTAATAGAGACACTGCCATTTCACAAGGCATCTCTATCACAGGCACAGAAAACAAAGGTGCTAGGTCCTTCTCCTTTTAATCTCAGGGGAATCCACATATTATAGAAGCTGTCAACAAATGTACAAACGTCAAGTCTGAAATAACCAAGCTTCCACCTGATTTAAACTATGCCTCAAAGAAGATGCCTACTTATCTGGAAATACCCAGCAGATGCCCAGCTGAAGGTGACACTGATTTTTGCATGTGTAAAGCAGAGCAAATATGTCTTATGTTGGCTTTGATGGTACCAATTTTGTCATTAAAGTTGAAGCAAAAGGCACCTTGAGAATAGTTCTAAATCATACAGAATTTTTGCATGACGTGTGGTGGGTGTTTTACATTGTCTGCCTTCGTGTGCTTTCTAACATTTGCTCTCACTAAATACAATCAATGACAAAACTGTATAAAGATCAGCAGTGGGCATTCCAAAGCAGTAATGCAAAGAATGAAGCCATTCTTTATGCGTCTTACATGTCTTTTGTGCTGTATTCCTCATTAGTCTTAAGTTTCTTCTCTTTTTTCACTTTTTTTTGAGGTAAAAAAGATGCCATAAAGCCAAAATAGACTGAACTCAGTACAATTCAGGGAACACTGACTAAGCAGCTACTCTCTGCAAGGCATTGTGCTAGAAAGCTGAGGAAGATTCCGAGGCGAATGTGACAGTCTCTGCCTTTGGAAAACTCACATTCTAGTGGAAGAAATGACTGCAGTCTAGTCTAGAATACAAAGTAGAAGGAAGTAATGACAAAATGAGGTCTATGTTGAACTGTAAGCACGCAGGAAAAGGATTAGTTCATTCTGTATGGATGATTCAGGGACTGTTTCACAGGAAAGCTAGCATTTATGCTGATCCTAGAATTTTGAGGTATTTGATAGAAAAATGACCATTCATTCCAGGTAGAGAGAAATTTAATCTTGTTAATAAGTCTTGTATAGTCACATACTACTTATTTCTTCTAAATAGCTCAGGTTGTTTTGCCATTATTTGATTAATATAGTATGTTATCAGGTTTCTCATTGGGGGAAGCAAGTACCAAAGAATTGCCCACAGCATTTCCAAGCTAATGACTGATAATTCATTTCCTTTTAACAGTTTGTAAAACCGTTTCACATACATTCTCTTTCTGCCTTAATTTTTTTAAAAAATGAGACTAGGCCTTCATTTTCCAGAACTCAAGACCTTTGCTCTGTCCACTGTGCTACTGTGTCTCTCTGTTACAGTAAGTGTTTGCCGGAACACTTCCTAATCACCCTGTCAGCATTGTACTATTGGTTAGTTCCCTTCCTTTTACTCTTGGCTGTTCTGCATTCAACCAAGTCTTTATTGTGCTAATAGTGTACCATAGCTTTGTCTGATTAACTTTCCTTCTCAAAAATGAAATCATGTTCTCCTGCACCTGAATTGAAAGGCATGTGAGTAAAGGATAGGGTTGGAGGTGATGTGGCCAATGAATGGACACTAGACACTTCCTTTTTTCCATCCATAGGAGAGCAGATGTGAAGGACCTGCACCAGGATGGTGGTTAGCAACAGTGGCCCGTGCCAAAGCACTTACCAAAGTGATGATGACTAAGGTTGGTCATGCCAAATACTGTTACTAAGCCTGGTGTAGGGTATAGAGGTTATTCACTACCAAAATTGTAAAACCACCAATGTAAAAGCTAAAATTACATTTCTATTTTGCCTCCATGCTGGACATAGCCACTGCCTCAAGGAGCTCACCACTTTAGCAGCTTTCTCTTACCTAGATTTTCAAAGATACTGGAGAGATTAGTGCTCAGATACTTTCTTCCTGTTGAATACCAGCTGACTTAAGAGTTTTCCAAGTGATTTTTTTTTTTTAGTGTAAAGATTATATTTGTGACAGATGTAGATAAGGGGATTGGAGGTGCACCTGGAGGTCTAAAGAGTGAAAAGAATCTGAACCCTATAAATCCCATCATGTCTAGCTAGTACAGTGCCTTGTACCCCGTGATTTCCACAGTATGTGATGATAAAACGATGAAAATAGCTGATCCCCAAATTTGAAGGTCAGATTTTTGCTTTCAAATACCAACATGGTTTAAGACTTTGTATATTTGTCAGTTCCATTTCTTAGCCAGATGTCATAAAATTCAGGGCCGGAAAGGAATTCCATAAAGTATTTTGGGCCATGATTGGCTTATTTAAATATTGGGATCCATAATTCTTTTAATATAGAATAACTGTAATGTTTATCAAACATAAACATTAAGCCCTGAGGCATGAAATTATAGAAAGCCTCCTTTGACATTTTTAATATGAGGGTAGAGATGGAAAAGCAGATGAAATTTGCCTGCCTCTTCACCTCGTCTTTCCTTCCCTGACTTCAGAAAAAATAAGCCCCTGCAACTCTAGCAGGAGATCTGAATGGGAATTGTGTGGTTACAGCTAGTCCACTGTGGCTAATACATTTTCATTTGCCTTAGCTATTGTACACAATTTGTATATAATAGTGGTGCCTCCTCTAGGAAAGGGGAGAGAGCATTGATTGGCTTAAGCTTAAACTAACAAAGGGAAATAATATTTCAAATTACATTTTTTCCTAATCCTTTTTAGTTTCTAAATTGGAACCAGACCTAGTTAATCTTCTGCTTATCCTTACCCCATCACTGTCTAACAGGGTACATTGCCTTTTTGCTTATATATTCTGCCATCAAAATCTGTTTTAAAATTTATATTAATGAAAGATAATTGTTCTACCATTTCTTCCTTTTCTTACTCCTTAGCCAATAAGTGTTTTGCTTTCCTTTTTTGCTGGTCACCGTGTACTATTTAGAACATGACTTTTATAATAAGTGCAGGTACAGATACAGGATTAGTTCCCTTTAATCAAAAGATTAATTTTAAACTTACTAAGGCTGAAACAGGTAGTTTATAACTGAAAAATAACATAGTTTTTTCTTATAAATAAATTATTTTACTCT